ACCTAAAAGAAGGGCCTCAATGTGTATAGATGGTGAAAGAATATGTTTGTAATAAATAAAACCCTGATGAAAATGCTTATATTTAGTTTCAAACACACGTGTGTGGCCTATATTATAAATAAAATAAGCCCTATGTTTTCTATATGGGGAGTGGGGTGGGGTGGGTATGGTAAATTACTAACCGGGATATGAGGATTGTATATTATTATTATTATTATTATTATTATTATTATTATTATTATTATTATTATTATTATTATTATTATTATTATTATTATTATTATTATTATTATTATTATTATTACTATTATTATTATTATTATTATTATTATTGTTATTATTATTATTATTATTATTATTATTATTACCCTCTTTAAAGATGGTTGAAATAAAAAAAAAATATATATATACCCACTCTGACCCAAGACCCCTGTTACGCGCCTGGTGTTAGGCGCCCTTGTGCTGACGGGAGATGTGCCCCCCTCTGAAGCTGGAAACCTTGTTTTTGCAAAATAAATTGATGCAATTTGCTATTCTAGGCCTAATCAATAAATTCCTCATCAACCGATATAACCTTAAACATTCTTGAAATTGACATAACATTAGTGATGTCGTACACACCCTTCAGTGTGAAATGTGGCTCTGTTTGCAAGCACATCTAACATCTAAGGAAAGAAGAGCTTAGATTGGTACCAGATAAAATAATTTTGTTATCAACATTAATACATTATGCTAATTTTCGTCTTTGTAAGCGCATAAGACAGTGCAAATTATTTCTGTGACAGTCTTTTGAAGTGTGTAAAGCTCCATTTTATCCCATACATAGTCAAAATATTGGGGGGGGGGATGATACAATGGACCATCCCCCCCCCTTGTCAAATATTAGAGGATATATCCCCATCCCCCCGGGATCTACGCCTATGGACGACAGTGTTAATTAACTATAGGCGAACGACAACACGTGTGTTTGTGAGACGCGCGCGTATTCCTAGCGCTGTTCCGATTAGTTAGCTGTTAAGTTTGATTGACACTCGGGAAAGGTCTATTTTCATTGATCGCCAAATGATTATAACTGTTAAAAAACAAAATATATCAATATAAATAAAAATGAAAAAAAGAAAAATAAAAAATCAATGTAATGTTTGTATGCAACTAATATATTAGGAATTGATAACAGCGTTCATTGATCCCCTCATTATAAAATGTGAAAAAAGAATTAGAAAGAGAGGGTCAGATATAGTTTTCTATATAATTTCAGTTTCTAAATAAAATTTAATTTCAAAATACATGATGGTCTGGGAAAATAAATAGGCTACCGCCCTAAACAGTAGGCCAATTTTAATTTTTTGTCATAAATCTGTTTAAAAATCACATCGGTGCCGTATATGACAATGTTCAGCTGGTATTATATAGCCTATGTTTATGACTTTTATCTATAAATGTCCGGTGGCCTTATAATTAATCTTTGCTACTCTTCTTTGAATATCTGGGTATTTTAATAGACATTATATTAGCGATTAATTTTGGAACAACTTTAATTTTATAATTTTAACATTAAAATAGATTATCTAATCAGCGAACGAGATGGCTGATGATAACTAATCATAGAGTGTAGGTATAAATAATGTTTGTATTATAGGTTTGTATTCTGAAAATGATTTATCTCATGATGCCTGTCCAATAAGAGGAGATACTTGCAAAATAATTGTTTCTATGGTTACATACAAGCGAGAATATGATAAAATAAATGTGTGTGCTATTGCAGATCTGCAACACATCGAAGACAAGCAGAAGAGTTACCAGTGACCAGACGAAGATTCAAAGTGGTTTTAAACACTGTGGAAGGTGAGTGTAATATTACATTATGAATTCAAGTTCGTCTGAAAATGCCTAAAATCCTTGATCTTGTCGGTTAATTATTATTATTATTATTATTATTATTATTATTATTATTATTATTATTATTATTATTATTATTATTTTTATTATTATTATTATTATTATTATTATTATTATTATTATTATTATTATTATTATTATTATTAGTTTTATTATTACTAATATTAATATTATTATCACTATTAGTAAATACTGTAGTCTTGTGCTTTTCCATATTGTTGTATCCAGTCATGACATTTCCCAGTAGTGGGATGAATAAATTATCCTTGTATCCTTGTATCCTTAATTAATAATGGATCCCTTTTTTTTCTTTAAATTATTGTTTATTGTATCATTTTATAAATATTATTGTAATTAATCTATGAATTTTAGATATTCTCAATTGTTTACGTAGTTTAAAGGTTTTTTTTAATATTTTCATTATTAATTTTGCAATTTAATTATTTAAATTAACTTGTATATAACCGATAATAATTGTAATATTATTTTTAATTTAGGCCTATATTTTATATATTCTATTTGTATTCTTAATGTAAAGCGCATTTGAACATGATTACTCATAAAAAGGGCGCTATAGAAATTTGGTAAATAAATAAATAAATCTTATAGTTATTTTAAATAATTACTCCATTTCCTCACTGATGTTCGAATAATAAACACGATTAGAGCAATGCATTCGACATTCTAGACAATGTAACAGTTCTATTTAAATGTAAGAAAAGTATACGGTATCCTTTAACATTAACACTACGGCCAATCTCTATTCAGGGTACACGTCTATTAAGGGGACACTTTCCCACTCACCGCACATCATACTGTACGCTGAGAATGAGGGTGTTGCTCAGGTTATCGCTGAACCCTACTGTACTTATTATTTATTTATTTGTATTATTAAATATACATACGGGATTGTATTATTAAATATACATACGGGACGTTATTTGGGAAATTGCTATTTGTCTTTAAAAACAAAATTAATTAAAATAGGCCTGCATCACTTGTATTCTTAAAAAATTTAATTATTTTGAAGGTGTATGATGGCGTACTGTTTGGTTCGTCTGGGATTAATAGTTCCATTACTATTGAGTCTACTGCTCCGACCGTCTACAATGTGTATGTATATATTCAATGTCTAATATTTAATATTGATAATAATATCTCGTAAATTATAATAGATTTATAAATGGGTCTTTTTGTATGTGTGTAAACTCTCCTAAGAGGCGTTTTATTTTTTAACTGTACTGCCCTGGTAAAATGTATGTTATTCAGGAGTTATTGTATTAATTTCTATTGTGTAAATTTGCGGCCTGACTATCAGAGCGAATAAATTAATTCGTTAAAAGTATTCTACAATAATGCATTGAGATTAATACTAGGTAAACAGAGATTAAGCAGTGCTAGCCCCATATTTGTCTCATGTAGGCAAAATGTGTAGAAAAATCGGTGTACGTCTTCATGTCAAGAATTTTTTTTTGCATCAGAAAACCCTTGTTTCAGGAATTGCCACTTTAATATTGAGATCATTTTCTACTATTGCATTGTTCATAATATCATTGAAGATCTGTAAAGGTATTCTGTAATTTGTATATATATTCAAATTTATCATCGATTGATTATCGAGTCTCACTAACGTCGCGTTTGTTATGAATTTTATTTTCATTTTTTTTGCTTCCTAATTTTGTTTAGTACCGTATATTATTAGTATTTTTGTTTTCGTGTTTATTTACTTTATACTTTTTAATGACTTTTTTGTTGCAATTTTAACTTGACATAGCAATGAGATATGCATAAACAATTTTCGCTCCGATCACTGAATCGCTATAAACTAAATATGAACTGACGTCCGCAGGGTTGGCTCATATGGCTCGCAGTGGTTATGAGTCTCCGATTCAACCTCCCTATAACCCTTGCAGTTTGAGACTTACTAACGTCGGGTTATTTCTCTATTTTTTTTATACTTAACAAAAATAGCCGTTGTTTTTTTCTAATTTATCATTCTTCTTCAATCTCGTTTTCCTATTTTATTTCATTTTATTTTATTTCTTTTTTTTTTTTTTGCACAGAGTTTTTCTGACCGGCTTTTGCCACTCTCCGTGCTTGAATCTTCTTCAAACATTGTTCAAGCAAAGATCATACAACGATGTGCATATCAAATTATGACAACATTTTACAATATTTTAAATATTATTACCAGTCATAGTTCGAGTTTCCCTGACATCGAGTTGCGTAGTAGGCATAGTAAGTCTTATTGTTGTGTTTAATATTTCTATTTGAACAGCGTATGTTTCGTACAAAAAAACAGTGACTACATCGATTGGTGACTCGGCCATAGCCGTGACAGATGACATTGAAAATACGTGCTTACAAATAAGTTAGTATACCTTTTATATTCTTCTTCATCTCTCTTTTCAGCCTATTCCTGTAACCCACCATCATACCACTACGGTCATCTCTTGTTTATTATTCCCTTATTTAATATTGTGCTTTCAAAAAGCAAGAATGGGGACCGCGTACGCCCTTCAAAAATGCTCCCCAGTCGCAACTTCCCCACCCCCCCCCCCCGCCATTGAAAATGTCCGAAGCAAAATAATACATCAAGTAGGCCTTGCAGTTGTAATAATACGCTCATCTCACCTTGTGCAGCCTAGCGTTACTAACCATCGAAGCCCCAGCTCCACTTAATTAGATAAAGTCACATCGATTGAGGCGAGAACTCGTGATATACATTTTTACCATTAATGTGCCATTGGCTCATTTTATTTCTACTACTAATTTTTGGTCTATATTAATAAGATAATAACAGAAATGTATTGTCTGCCCATTGCCTATCACGAACATTGGCATTGTCTCTGTGTCAATCCATATTCAGCCTCATGGGGATTGATGTTAATGAAGCACACTTCCTCTCTGGCCTAATAATTACAAGGTTAACATAATAACAACCAAACATTAATTATTGAAATAAAACGAAAATAATATAATATTGAGTGTCATATACCTGCTGGCAGTATAAAAATAGATTAATAATTCCGAAGATAACGAGCAGACTCCAACGTAGATAAATATCCATTTTTTAAAGTACAAATAACTTCATTAATTCCTCTGAGGCAAATGCTTCTTGAAATAGCTGGGGCTATAGCCCCCCCCCCCGGTCGGGGAAGCCTAGCCCCCCCCCCGTCGGGGAAGACGATAAATTTTGTCGAGGAACAAACAAATAGAAAAATAGAAAAAAAAATATTTACATGTAATATTCGTTTAGCCACCATATCGTTTGTGTTAACTTTTCATCACAACAACCACAATAACAATAATAATAATAATAATAATAATAATAATAATAACAATAATAATAATAATTATAATTAATTTTAATTAGTTCTGTTACGACAAATGCTAATTTAGATAGCCTCATGATGGTTGTAATACATCGTGATAGGTGAAGCAACCTCGACCATGACTACGTGGTTGACAGATTTCATGCAAAATTTCCAAAATATAGAATTTCACTTTCAAGAATGAGGATTTGAAAATAAATTAGATGGTTACATTGCATACTCTTTGTTTCTTGCTTTATTCAAAAATGTTTTTGGTTTTGGAAGCTGATGTCAACATTAGAAAGCATAGCCTACATGAAGTCATATTATAGCATAGAGAAAATATTGTAACTCGATGCCTATCAAATAAGTAATAAAAATTCGCCATAATTCATCAAATATCTGTGGCTTCCAGGGGGATTCGCCCCCTGGACCCCCACCGGGGGGCCCTAGGCGGCCCCCGGCCCCCAGCCAAGTGAGACTCGATTCGCTCCACTAGCCCCCCCGTCGGGGCCTTTAGCCCCTCCGTCGGTCCTGGCGCCACCCCTGTATCCGTTCTGTGTTAAACGTACATTTCACTTTGTGTCTACTGGCCTGAGAATTAGATAGTGAGCACGCTCACTCTTGGCCACCACCCTCAATACACTATAAACAATAAAGTGACACATAGGCTGATTATAATATAATAGTGTGAATCGTTTTCGTGGTTTATTACAACAAAAGGCAAAAAGACAGTCGGACACTACACTTTTTTTTTTCTGAGAACCAGTAAAAATTTTCCCAGACTCAATGTTCTTATTTTTTTGCTGATTTCAGACTCAAAAATATTCTTATTTTGTTCTTATTTTTAAACACTTTTCAAGCCTATAAAAATGCTTATTGTACATTAGTATAGGCCTATTACTGTAATGATAGAGGTACAGAGAAGATTTGTTGTTTTTTTTAAACTAAAAGCCTCATTTGAAATTTTACTTTAGTCTAATTTGTTCTTATTATTTTGTTCTAAATTTTTAGGCAATTTCAGCCTCAGTGTTCTTATAAAATGTGTTCTTATAAAAAAAAAAGTGTATTGGTCCCTTAACGAGTTTTCAGAGTATAAGTTCCTAAAAAGTGACCAAGAAGCCAAGCGACATGGTGCCGTAACGCCACTGAACCTAAACTTAATTTTTACTCTTTAAACTCCACTTTTAATTACAAGAAACGGAAATTCATCTTCAATGTTTGCCGCTAATTCATAAAACTGTAATTCATAAAAATACCAAAGCACATGGCTCAACACTGTTATTATTCATATAAAAAAACAAAATTTAGATTTAAAACCACCTTGTTAAAATAAAAAGGTTAATAAAAGTTGGATAAAAGTACAAGTTTGGAAGCAATAAGGGCGGTTCTAAGAAAAATGGAATTGCTGCAAACTGCACAGTTTTTGCTTGACCTCGGCCTCTCTCCGATTCGACGACCAGACAGCATAAAATTAAGAGGTCACGATTGACTTCAGGCCTATTATTTGCACTGTTCATAACTGATCAAGACATTCTCTCCTTTGAATTATAGATACCGTAGAACGGCTGGAAATCAACATGGATAAAGTCTACAGTGTTTCGATGGTTACGATAATTAACCATGTTGGTTCAGGTGACTGCGATTAGTTACTGTATATGTATATAGACGTGTGTGTGTGTGGAGGAGTGGGGTGGGAAAAAATTGTGGTGGGGTGTGAGTAGTTATGGTGGGGTGTGTGTGAGTCGCAGTAAACCTAATAGAATAATCAGGTAACCGGTATTATATTATACACACATATCGATGTTATGAAGCTATAGGCCCTAATCGTATCAAGCATATGATAAGCATATGCACATATCGTATATGTGCATATGTATACATACATGAAAAGTACTGAAAAACAACAATGCTGTGGAAAACAATGGCTGGATCTCGGATCGATACAAATTTGATAAGCAACAGCTAAAAATTTAATAAACAGCCAGAAATAAAACCAAAGCTTCCGGACAACATTAGTCCTTCCACAGTGGCGAGTTAGTGAAGGTAGAAAAAGCCACACACACACGCACACACCTACACACACACACACACCCACACACACACATAGGCTATCCCACAGTTACATACAAAGTACACACACACACAGTTACACGTAGTCATATGCACAGTTACATGCACAATTACATACACGGTACATACACACACCCACCCACATAGTTACACCCACAGTTACATACAAAGTACACACACACAGTTACACGCAGTCATATGCACAGTTACACTCATAGTTACATACTGTACACAGTACACACACAGTTACACACAGTCACATGCACAGTTACACGCACAATTACATACACAGTACATACACACACCCACCCACACACACACATAGTTACACCCACAGTTACATACAAAGTACACACACACAGTTACACGCAGTCATATGCACAGTTACACTCATAGTTACATACTGTACACAGTACACACACAGTTACACACAGTCACATGCACAGTTACACGCACAATTACATACACAGTACATACACACACCCACCACATAAAATAATACCTGTCTCTTATACACATCTAGATGTGTATAAGAGACAGGTATTTGTGTGTGGGTGTGTGTGTGTGTGTGTGTAGCGATCTGCGTCGTCAGACACGATGAAAAGAATGAGAATCACACTCTACTGGTACTTGAATTCGCCACAAAATCTTCGTGGTTAAGTTCATATGACGCTTGGTTTATGTAGGCCAAAAATCCGGGTTCGAATCCTGTGTAGGTTTATTGTGTTTCATTCCCTGTCAGTTCATTTCCGTCTTATTTTATCCATATACAGATATTATTTGGCGAATAAATAAATAAACATATAATTCAAATCATTGTCAGGTGAATGCACAATGGATCCAAATATGCGAGACTACAGAGGAATCGTCAGTAAAACAGCAAGTGGTCGTGATTGCCAAAATTGGTTTGAGCAATGGCCTCATAGCCATTCATACCCACCCTATGCGCATAACCTTTGTCGCGCCGATGAATGGCACGAGGTGTGGTGTTACACTTTAGATGCTGCTGTCAGGTGGGAAAGGTGTGACATACCTGATATCGGTGAAACCTGTCCCCGTGGTAAGAATATTTCATTTAATTAATAATTAATTGATTAAAAATTCATTCATAAATTATAACAATTACAGCATTGTTTGAGTGTTTGAGTATTAAAACAACCTTAAGAAAATTAAAATTGTCTTGGTATACAACCATATTTCTTAGTCATGGTTCACAGTAGATTACATTATTTCAATTGAGTTACCGTCTTTTCTGATTTTTAAATCTAATTAAATACTAAATTATTACAAATGTTGAATATAATTATTGATTTCTGCGCTTTTTTCATGTAGCTCCATTCACTCGATATTTACGTCCGCTAAACACTTGTTATGGAGTTTCTCATTGGCTGATATTCAAAGAGTCAAAACTTGTAGCGGGTGTAACTGACTTAAGTGGACAGCCTGTGAAAATTAACGTCCCAATGAACATCAAAGCTAGAATACCTAATAACGAAAGATTCCAGCACTGCAGAAATACTTTTACACTTTCGTTCTACATTTTTCCGTACAAAATTTCAAATGGTCCAATAATAGCATTCGGAAATGACAACACGAGGTTTTCTATCGTTCAGACACTCTCGAATGATGCCCTTTATAACTCCGAGGTAATTGTTTCTTATGGAATAGCGGAGATTGTCCACGCAAAAGTACTTCTACCGGAGAGCTGGACATTTCTTGCCGTCACGTTTGACGGCCAGCATAAAGTTTTGACACTTTGGCGGGATGGAGAAATTGCAAGCTTTGGAAATACTGGATTTACGAGCATTCAGATGGATTTCGATGACATCGAAGTTGGGTCGGATGCAGTGGGGTATGATGGTGTAGTGGCTGAAGTAGGCTATCTACAAATTTATGACCGTATCTTGAACGAAGCAGAGATGAAAGCAGCCAGAGACAAACGTACGTTCATCTTGTTATCGACTCACTATTTTGAATTTAAAGCCCATTGTCCTGATTGTCAAATATTATTTGAAAAAACATGTGATATGCCTAATTATGGTCACGATGACATCACAACCATATGCACATCATGACTATATAAGGACATACAACCGCTTTTGAAACAAATGAAATTTGATAGTCTGCACTGGGCTTTAACTGGTTTCCATAGAAACACGCTATCGCCGACAGGTTTGGTCGAATCAGGGAATCTTCACGTTTGCGCCAGAAAACAGCTCACGTTTGCATATAATATTACCGGTATGCCATCAGTTGCGTAACAAGTTCTGATGGGCTCTGGTTTAAGAGTACAGTCGGGACCCTTGACGCATATAAATTGGCCTAGGCCGATCAGGCTAAACAAATCTTTATCCAGTTAACGAATAATTACTCTTTTGAAGTAATTTATATAGTAAAACGTACCCCCGATGAGCACCATCCCTATATTTCTGGGTGTAGAATTCGGTGCCAGAAAAATGTTATTTATGAAAGCGAATTATTTACAATTTATTACTATTTTACTGAAGTAATCGGATACCACTAGTACGGATTATTATACAGATACAATAGCTACTTTATTGTCATAAAAATATATAGTACAATATATAGGCCTATATCCTACTTTTACTAAATTAATCAATATTTTTCTCACCGGACACTATCCAGTGTTTCTGATTTTAAGTTTCGTGGCCTGAATATATGATATTGACCTATAATGACCACTGACCTCTATTTAATATATCATACCGTTAGACCAATATCATTTTAACCACTAATGTAATACATTTTAACCACTAATGTAATAAGTTTCGAAATATAAGATAATTTCGGTCAATAAATATGAATAAAATTATATAATTTTATTAGCAAAACGTTCCCAACACACCGAGAGATTCTTAACTGACTTGGTCGCAGGGGCTGAGGGTTGTATGACCCACTAACGTAATAATCAACCACTAATGTATAAAAGTCAGCCATTAATATAATATTAACCACTAATATAATAAGACACTCACCACTAATGTAATATCATTTCAACCTCTAATGTAATCAATTTTAACCACTAATGTAATAAGTTTAGAAATATAAGATAATTTCGGTCAATAAATATGAATAAAATGATATAATAATACTCAAATAGCCTATATATTTTATTTCAAAACCCAAACAATTCGTAACCTAACATAC